GCATTTGAGGCTGTTGATGTGCCTTGGGACAGCTATTTCCAGAAATGGTGTTTAGTGAAGAATATTATTTGGTATTTGTGCTGTCTAATTTTTGCTATCATGTGATGGAGCAGTTCTTATTCTTTTTATTACTGGAAGTGTCTTCTGGTTTCTAAAAATCTGTAGAATCGATACAAATGCTGAGATAGTTATGTATGTCTTCCTAATGAAATGCAGCTAGCTAATTAATCAGCCTGGCATCGAGTTCAGGACAGCAAATTCTTCTTTCCTCTACATTCAGCTCCAGATTGGAAATAATTATTTTTAATGTGGATGCCAGATCTGGGGCCCTGCCATCTCCCACACATGCACACACCCAGTGACTGTCAATGTGCTCCCATGCATTTGGTAGAGAGCGGGGCCTTTTGCTGCGAGGAGGGAAATGGCAGAGTTGTGGCCATTGCTAGAATAATTTCCTTTCTCCTTTGTACCCTTGGCTGTGTGCAGTGCAGTTCTTGATGTGCAGGCAGTGATTGCTCCCTGAATATCCTGATCCCACCACATCAACAAAGAAAAATAATCAGGTTGAAAAGAAGTCTTCTGCTGGCCACCAGTTAGTTTAGGGCATACGTATAATTTAAAGCCAGAATAGAGGTGTTTTGTCTTTCTGAGTAACTCTGTGGAGTTCCATACATCGACATCGTAATGATTCTTGACTGTTGGAAATAGGACAAACTGATACTCAGGCTCTGCAGAAAGTCTCTTGGGTGACTTTTAGGGTGGGCAGCATTGCCCAAGTCAGGAGAGATTGCTAATTTGCTGGGAACCTCCTTGTTTGCTTTTGATGGTACATGCTTACAGTTTTGCATCCCAGGACAGGCTCCTGACCTGAGTTTAGTCCCATGATATAACATTACTCCAAATCAGACTAGGCAGTGTGTTTGAACTGGAATGAGCATTTGGGCGTCTGTAAAATTTTCCCTCCTTCCCTGGTCTGTCATTAAAATCACTTAGCTGGTAATTACAGCTTTTCAGTTACCTGAACACTCTTCAAAATCAATCTGCAAACAACGTTAAGCCTCTGAAATTGCTTGTATTTATGTAATTCCTTCTCCTTTTTCAAAGAGGCAGTCCTGCTTTATGAAGAGGGGCTGTGGGATGAGACTTGTGTTAAAGCTAAACTGTAGTAAAATGTAATTTATACAGTAGAGTTGATATTCCTGAGGTAGTGACTGCCTGAGACTTTCATGAAGAGTGGAGAGGGGAAAGAAACTTGACAGAGTATGGCTAGCATGTGCTGAGCCAGGTTGTGTGTACTGCACTTGTACCATAAAGAGGGAAATCTTGATGTAATTAGAAAGCAAAATGGAGCTATTTAATGCTGTTTTTTCTCCAAATTATCTGAAAAACAAAATGGTATTTTTAAAGGAAAGGAGGCTTTTTTTGTGAGCACGCTGAGTCCTAGGGCTTCCAAAGCATTACCATATGTTCCCTTTGGTATGTGATATTTGTTGTTTACTGTGTCCATCAAACTGTTTTTCTTTCATAGTTGTATCACCTTCAAACCAACAAATGCCTGGTCGCCCAGGGCCACCCAAGTCAGAAAGGAGGCCTGGTAGTGGTTCGGGAATGTGACTACAATGATCAAAACCAGGTATGGTATTCCGAATTATATTGAATAGTGATTCACGTCTTACAAATTGCTAATCTGTTTTCCTGATGGCCAAGTGCACTAGTATAACATCTCCTCAGCAAGCAGCCTGATTTCAGACTATCATTCAAACTGCAGGGCTGGCCAAGGAGACTGTGGAACTTACTGCTCTGTACCTACTAATGCTGAGTGGATATTATAATCTCCGATCTTTATGGCATGAATCTCTGTATGTGGTTGAAGACTCTCCTTAAGTGGTTCCTGATGGGTTCACAATCCACTAATTGACACTTCAGAATTTGTAGAAGCTCTTTCAGTCAGTTCCTCTTACCGGGATTTAAGGCAGCCTTTTCCTGCCCTGCCGTTCTCTGTGTACTGTACAACTAGTCCTTTGCTGCTGGAGTAGCTGTAGTTTTGGGTGAATGAATGATTTATTGTTACTGTTAAATAGAAGGAATTATAAGGAATTTAGAAAATTCTTTGGCTACAGGTGAGGATTAATTGGGGATGATGTGAAAATATAAGGAGAGTTTTTGTATTACTACATGAAGCCTTTGCCATTCTACTTCTGTTCTTTCAGACAACAGAAATTCAGGACTTGGATAAATAATCTCCAGGGTAGAGAGATCTTCACCTAGTGCCATAAAGACTTTTACCTAGCTAAGAACTACATTGAGAACATAATGGTTTAGGAGCCCATGGGACTCAAGTCTAAAAAATAGATCGCATCTAAAGAGAAAAGTAATCAAAGACACAAAATAAATGGAGCATGGGATGTAATACAGCATAGCTTTACCAAAGGTGGGTTGTGCTAGACTAACTTGATGCTTTATGAAATGGGCAGTAGTTTTCAGGATCTGGAAAATGCAGCAGTAGAAGCAGCATGATTTGTAATAGCCCCAAACAAAAAATTACGTGCTTTGTCAACTGATGGGACTTTTTGCTTCCGACCTGTGGCCTCATCAGTTGAATGAGATAGAGGGAGATAGTGTGAGGGGTGTTAGTCACTGCCTGGGTAAGTGTGGTTGGCTCTGCACAAGTGTTCTCCAGTTGCCACTTAGACAGGACCAAGCAATACATCCCTGCGCTTTGCCTCTGGAGTACTGAGTAATCATCACTATGACCAAATTATAGGTCCCTGTGTTAAAGACGGATGAATTTAAGCTGGAATGGGAATGAAGGTTTTCTTATGTGGTATCTTCCATTAGCTGTAAGAAAGTCAGCAAGTCTTGTAAATGTGAAGACTGTGTAAATGTAATAGTAACTGATTGGCACCAGTGATTGTATGTCTACAGTGCCAAAGGTGCTACGCTTCTTTCTGAGCCATTCAGTCTGTGAGTGAGAAAGCAGTGATGACTTCCAGTGGATGATGGCCGCAATAAGAACATATGGGTCCTCACAGTTACTGCTTCCCTTCTCCCTCCTGCAGTATTTCTAATAGTGAAGTGCCGCATGGCTGGAGGAGAAAGCCCATTGTTTTTCCTTAACAAAACCTTCTTCTGATTTTTCTCCTGGAGACAGAAACTTCAGTTTTCCTTTTGGTGTTGGGAAAGACAAATTAATGCTCAGATTGTTGATCTTTGGCTTATTTTCTCATTAATCTAGTTTACTACTGGTAAATTAAGCAATTGTTCTCATAAAAAAACTGGCTGTGCTATCTTCTTTCACAGTGATTTTGTTCTACAACCAACTATGTTAACAAACAGTATGTTTTTTTGCCGTTAGACTTGTTTTGTTCTCATAAATCCCCTGAGTGCATTCAGCCAGCTTGCTTTCATATCCTCTTGAACAACCTTGCTCTAGATACATGAGAACAGTGTAAAGACAGACAACACTTATACAATTAGCAAGAAAATTCCTGAGTTTTGGAAGTTTTTAACTGTTGTTTCTGGTAACATTCAACCTGTTGGCCTTTTCAGCTAATTTTTACTCTAGAACTATCTGTTCTATTGGCCTAATAAGAAAGCCTGTGTTTGGGTCTGGTGAAAGGCAGGTACCCCGCTATCCTGTCCCCTGGATGCCCACTGGCAGTAAGTTAAATGTGTGTTGCTTAATACACACAGTGCAGACAGTTATTTTGGAAGATGACAATCTGTACTTTGCAAGCAGTATTTTTGTGACTTTGTTTAGTGTTGTTCTGAGCCAAAGGTGGTATTTTTGTAGATAACAGCCTTTGAATTTTTGCTTTTTAATTTTTGCTTTTTCATGAGTGTCTAATTGTATTTTGACCTCATGTAAGCTTTTGGCATCCTGTGGCAGTGAGTACCACAACTTAGCTGTGCTTTCTGTGGTAATAATTTGATGCCACTTCATGCTGATTTCATTTGCCAGCTAATGTTTCCCTGAGGAGCAAGAATAAGTTGTCACTGTTTATGTCTTTCCAGGCTGCTTTTGCTCTGTGAATAGGTAACACCCTCCCTTGAACATCACATGCTACTGCTCAGAAAGTTGAAGGAGCAGTCTACCTGGGAAAACGTGTAAGGGCCTTCGTAAGACTCATTGACTGCAGTTCCTTTAACTGGAAAATGATCTTCTGTGTAATCTGTTGATTGGAAAATGGTCTTCTGTGTAATACAGATGATTCTTGCTCTTGAGAACTCTGTGGGGAAACCAGACTCACAGAAGCCATGAGACTGGCCTTACAAGCCAGTCTGCTTTGCTTGTAGTTTATGCCTGCTTTGTTTTCTCCAGCCTTTGTGGCTGCTAGGAGAAGCTCAAATTCTTACTGAACTCCTCAATTTTCAACAATTGACAAACGTTGTGAAACCTGCAGTTGCATCACCATTATGGGTAATACTTGTGATTCAATTTGATTTAGGTGATCAACATTAAAGTTAAAAACTACTCAAGCACATCAGAGCATCCTATTTTCTAGGACTTGATGTGACCGAGTGACATTCAGTTCATCTTCTTGCTATAGAAAGAAAAAACAATAAGGGAAGTGGTTCTCACAAAGGTGATACATCTAGAAAATATTCCAAAATTTGGGTCTTTCTCTGAACTATAATGAAAACAAGGACATCTCATTAACCGTGACAGAGATACCCAGTCTGGGAGAACACTGGGGATTGAGCACAGCTTTAGAAATAAATGATGAAACTTTTGAAGTTAGAAATAGCACAAGTAGGAGAGGTCACAGGATCTAGTAGAATGAAGGTCAATGTGGAGAGGTCTGAAGTAACAAAAGAATCTGAAAAACTGAATGTGAATTTTGGAAATAAAAGACCAACATGGAATGAGAAATTTTGTAACTGAAGAGTGATTGTGTGAAGGAACTCCCAAGATTGTCAAAATACACTGCCGAATTTCAGGAGGGTGTTTATTTGACCTCTTTCTGGAAACAAAACTGAGAATGCACAAGGTAGTGCACACCATAATACTTGGTTGTAGAAGCAGGATGGAAAATATTTAAGCACTTTGAAAGATCATCATGAAAGACTGGAGGTGTCTGAAAAGTGGAAGTAAAATCTATGTGATGTGGATTCTGCTCAAACAACATCATGCCAAGGTTAATTGGGTGGTGGTTAGGAGGCAAGGACACTGAAGCAGGCTTTGGGCTAGATATTGCCCCAAAGGGGTAGAAGTAGTTGCTAACAAACGTGGAAGAGAAGCATCAAGGAACACTACAAAGGAACATTTTGGAATAAAGCATAATGGCCAACACAAGACTAAGTAGTGGGACTTTTCGTGATCTAACAGCTGAAAGAAGATTGGGTTTATCATGTATCTAATGCCTGCTTGCCTTCTTCCTGACCTAAATTCTTAAAGACAAGTTCTTTTTCCAAAAAAACTCCTCTCAGTTCACTGAATTATTCAGATTTTTTCTGCTGTTTGTTTTCAGATATGCTAGGTTGACTCTTAAGCTTTACTTTCTGTGTTGTTATAACCTCTGTGTGTTTTCTTCATTTCAACAATTTAACCTTTGTCTTGCTTAGCAATATATTAAGCTTTAAAAATGTGACTGTTGCCATTCCTCTGGGGATGGTGCTAAGGTGTCTAAGCATGTGCGTCTGTGCCCTGGGACTTTAAAAAATAATTGACTTGAGCAGAGAATTTCAGAAAAGCTGTTAACACTCTTGCGGCACTTTATAAATGTACACGTACATACTTTACAAACTGGTCAAGAGTCTAGAAGGATGTGCTCACTAAATCACTGCAGTTCTCTAAGATCTTTTTCTGTAAACCTCTGGTTTGTGGCTGTTAGTTTGCTTTTCTGATACAACAGATATATCTAGAGTGAGTGTGAAGACATGGAAGTTAAGTCTGCTTGCTGCTTTTCCTTAAATTGTTTGAGGAATGCAATTCTTCCATCCCTTTAATTGTCACCTATACAAAATGTCAGCAGCACACTGAAATGAAACAAGAAGCATGTGCTTTGGAAAGACCTTCAGGAGGACATGGGGTTTCCAGGATAGTAACAGCTTAACTTGATGATTGTAGACCACCAAGCTTTGATTCTAGTAACTTTCACAAGTAATTTGGTGCTGTGATGTCATTGTTATCCATAATAACAAGAAGTGGAGTACATGCAAATAGCTGTGATAATGCAAACGGGTGGGCGCAGCTCTTCCTCAGTGCTGAGGTGGCTTTTTTGTGTTCTTAAGCTGAATTTTGGTCTTTTAAAAACTGTCTGACTCCATAATGTAACAGAGCCAATCTAAGCAACAGATTGTAACTGATGAGAGTCCTGGAATGCTTCTCCTGTCAGTGTGGTTCACGGCAGGGATTTTCTTTCACACAAAGGGCTGTTTCTGTAGTAGTTATTGTCTTCGATTTACTGAAGTTTTTCAATGGTGCTCTAGTGCTAATGCAATTTGCATACCAAATAAGAGTGTCTGTCTACACAGCTTTGCCAGTTGGCCGCCGATGCCTTTTGCTACACTCCACTGCACTCTGAAAGCTGAAGGGTAGGCTGATGCTTTCTGGTTTATTTCACATCATTTTGAAATATTTATTCCTTATAAACAGCGAACTTCCCCTTTCTACCTACTACAGATTCTTTGTTTGGTGGTTGTTTTCCCCCCCGGCCCCTTGGCTGGGTGATAGGTTTTGTTTTAATACAGTTGTCTGTATGGACAGTGGAACCAAAATCTTCTACAGGTAACTCCATTTTTCAAATGGAAATTATAGCATGGGCCATCCTCCTAGATAATGAGGCACTGTTTGAGCCCTCTCCTCACTTGACTTTCCTCTGATGTAGTTCAGCTAGCTGTTACCTATTTACATTAACTAATTGCATTGCAGAATAGTTTCATCTCTCACCAAAACCAAAAGTTCAGTAACACAGCCCTGTATCTCTTTATTATGGTAAAAAATAATCGCAGAAGGGGATCACTGGGTTGTAGGGGTTTATGGAGGGAGTGAAGAGTGTGCCACCTTTAGCAACAGTGGCAATCTGAAACCAGTTAGGAATAACAAATATTAGTTAAATGAAAGGGGAAAAAAAGCTGCAACATCCAGCCTTCAGCAGTGTCTTAACTCTGTGCAAAGACAGCAGTGTAACTGTAGTCATCACTGAAACTGTTTATTAAAGCCCTGTTTCTACCTAACTGCCTATGTAAATGAGATTAATGAAGTTGTCTTAGCAATCAATCCAGTAGGGTGTGTGATTTGTTGTCTTGTATGGGGGTGAAGGGAAATCCTGGAGGTACTAGAAGCCCTAGGAAACCTCAGTCTTAAATCTGTAAATAGACTGAACTACCTTTTGAGGGGGCTTAATTGAAAATCTGGTTCTTCTTAAGCTGCACCCGTGTAGAAAAAGGTTGTTACTAACAGTTTTCATACTTTGGACCTCCTCCCATTTATTTTGTCCTCAAGACCTACTCTAGCACATGCTATGCATCTGTCTGTAGGTGACCAGAAGGACCCACGCACCAGCTTTGCTGTAGCAGCGAGATCGCTTACCCTAGATCTGTGGGTCTCATTTTCCACTATGGGAAAGTTCAACTGGCTACTGTGCTCCAGATGACTAAGCATGCACAGGAGCTCTGTGCCCCTGTAGCTGAAGGTGAAGGCATTGACTCTGATGGGTGGGAGATTTGGGCAGGCATCTGAGCATTGCATAACCTGAAATGCCTTGCCTGGGGGAAGATCTCTAGCTGCTCCAGGGTCATCTGGGACCTCAGAAGGGTTGGTCGGCAACTGAATGGGCCACTGCACTCCAAGACTGAATGGGTCCTTGCACCTTTCCTCTTGGCTTGTTGCCTGTGTTGAGAGGCAGGGGAGAAAAAGCTGCTAGAATGATGCCAATCCTACAGCATTCAACAAATTCAATCATTTATTTGTCCCAAAAATTGATCACTTTCATTATGGAGAGAGGTTTTTCCATAACATCTGCCACTTAAGTTTTATTTGAAAACAGAAACAATTGATTACATTCCAATTGCATCCCATTGTTTTTCTTTGACTCCAGTGAAAATAGTCAGTGATTTTCCTTAGACCCGTGTAGCAGATCAGTCCATTAGCATGCGTAGTACACTCAGAACTGAGGTATAAATCCTAGATAGGCATCTGATTGATTACACACTTCTGATACTGTGCTTGAGCCTGAACCTAAGCAAATCATGGACAAAAAGACCACGAGAGCAGTTTATTCTCCTGGTAGATCAGATACCAGTGGTGCTGGCTGCCAGGAAGTGTTTCCTTCGTATACTGGGCTGTTGCTCCTGACAGCCTTGTAGCTCTTCTAACAACAAGAGCTAAACATCATCTTTCCAGTCTGCAGCAGCAAAGTAGTTAATAAATTCTGGACTATGCAAAGGCTTGCAGTCATATAACAAAAAACCCCATGGGGTGGCTTCGCTTTCTGTGTGCCTAAATCTTAATAATCTGCAAGTTCATACTGATACTCTAATCTGAATTTGGAACCATAATGTGTCCCATATTTGGGCCTTTTTTTCTTTGTTTTCTATACCAAACACATAATTAGTTTGAAATTAATTTTGGCCGTCTTCTATAAGCCTTTCTGGAGAAGTATCACAACTGGATTTAACCACTGTTGAGTGTTCTTTGCCATTACTCCGCTTTTGATTAAAGGTCTGCTCCCTGTGTCACTGCAGGGATGAATCTCTCTCAATTCTTACCAGTTTCATCTGCTGTTTGGATTTGGCTCCATCATTATTCTTCTTTTAATAATAATAGTCTTCTGGCAAGTCCTGCTATTTCTCCTTTCTCTCCTCCTTTTTAATCTTGCCATACTTTCTTTCTCATGACAGGGTTTAAACAGAAAAAGTATGTTAGAAGGCACAGAACTCCTGAGTTTAGGGCAAATTTTAATATGATACCTGCACTTCCTCAAAGGAGTCCTTCCCTGTATTATAATAGTCATTGTGATAATGAATGAGCTGTATGCTTTTTCAGTCGTGCTGTCCACCTGTGGCAGTGTCCTGAACCACTGCAGAAGGCTGCTTTTAGTTTCATCAGACCAAAAAAAAAAAAAAAAAATCAGAATTTGTTTTAGTTGCCCGACTTTTCTGCCTGCAATTTGATATTCTATACTCTGAGTGTGAAACTCATGCAGGCTTAGTGGAAAAAAAAAATCACACAGCGGGCACGGTTACTGCCGTATTGACCTGTGTGAAAACAAAACAGGGCTGGAAGAAGAGTGCAGCAAGAAGAACCGGGCGTGCCTGTAGGTACTGCTGCTTCTGGTACAGTTATGAGGGACTCAATTCCCTCTCATTCACAGATGCAGAAGTCAGGGGGAATGGGGTTGATGGTGGCAAGTGAGGCAGATGAGCAGGGATGCTCCTTGCATGCGCCAGCCTGGGGTTGGGTCTGGGAATGGCAGCAGACTGGGAGACCTGGCCCAAGCTATGCTGTCTCCTGCTCAGCAGCCAGAGAGGTTGGGAGATGCTGTACGGGTGCCGTCTGAATGCAGGGGCCCCACTGCGCCTTCAAAATAGCAGCTGTTTGGTGTTTAGCCAGATGGTCTCGGCATCTTCCCTGCACTGCAGAGTCACAGTTTTCACATACTTTCTCCTCCTTTTCCCTACCCCTTTCTAAAGTAGGGTATTTTGGGGTGCACACACCAAAGTTCATCCATTTCTTTGCTTTCTGGCCCAGGGATCAGAGTCTCCCATTGCTTATCAGAGCTCCAGGTCCTCCATCTAACTGATATTGAGTAACCTGATCTAATTAAAGATGTCCTGCTCATTGCAGGGGGGTTGGACTAGGTGACCTCTAAAGGTCCCTTCCAACCCAAACAATTCTATGATACTGGCCGAGGACTTTGCAGGCCTGAAGGCACTGTGGGAGCACGGACTGGCAGCTCCTGCAGTCAGACGAGACTGATGGTCCAGCTTCCCTGAGCCTTCAGCTGGGTCAGACATGCCTTGCTCCAAAGCAAGGTTTGGGCAGCCCTGTGAAAGCTAGCACGCTATGGATATGAACTGCAGCAACTGAAGGTGCCTGACAGCATTTTATACCAACATTAAAAATACCCGCTTCTGCCCAGAGGAGCACGCAGGAGAGGACAAACTGATGGGTTGAGCATGCCCTTGCTGCTTGTTAGAGGTGATGATGGTTTTCAGTGTGGTAACAGAGAAAGTCCTGTAATGTCATGTAAATTCAAGAACCCAAGTGGAGTTGAAGCTGGAAACATGAACCAGTACATTCTTGCTTTATACACGTGGGCCCCAGAGAGGACCTGAATTCAGTCCCACCGCTATGTGAGCTGCTGGCATATTGTGTAGGTTCCGGAAGTCCAGATCAAGACATTTTCATGTTGGTTCAGCTAAAACAAAGTGGGTGTGATGTGGGAGGGCTGGTCTCCCTCTAAGCACAGCACAGCTAGCAAAAGCAGTTTGGCTGGGGAACAGAGAAGGACATAAACCTGTCATGGTTATGAAGCATGTAGTTTCAGAACAGGAATGGTGAAGCAGTGATTTCTCTTGCTCCCTGGAGAGCAGTCTGGAAAGTTTTAATAGCATCTGGATGTCAGCAATCATCTTCTAACTGAGGGAAGATCTCTGAGCACCAGGCCACCAGCTGCAAGGAGTAGGACCCTGGGACCAGTGCTGGGACTAATGCAGGCTACCTGGCACCAGAATTTGCACAGCTGATTTTGGTTTCTCATCATTCAGTGTCTACAAGCTGACCCCAGAGCAGCGTGCTAACTAAATTCCTATGTGTTTATCGATGGATGCAGCAGTTTCAAAGAAGATTGGAGATAGATACCTTTTGGACTTGTGTGCCTGCCAAGCTACTTCCCCACAGCCCTTGGGCCACCTGCTGCAACCCATCATCCTCCTCTGGCCCGCATGCTGGCTCCCTGCGTGGAGTTGAGGCGATCCACCAGCCCCTCCTTCATGACTAAAGGTTCATCTTTGGATAAGGAGAGTTGGTGCCTGGCTTAATGACTTGGCTCAGAGAGCAGCTGGTCACCTGCTCAGAGATCCACCGCTTGCCTGTCATGTTACTTTGTCTAACTGCCTGGACAGGAGGAACAGCAGGATTAGAAATGGTCTTTTCAGTGCCTCTGTGTGGGCTAACACGGTGTGATGTTGGGAAGGCAATAGTGCGCTGCAGTTGTATTATTTCAGTTGCTGGAAAACAGGCAGCAAAGAGGCAGCGTGTATGGCAAGGCACATCTCTGACATCCACATGCTCAAGTACCTCCTCTGCAGCCGAACAGATGCAAGGCACCTGCCCTGAAACACTGGGATAAATGTCTTTCTATCTTCTCTTCCAGGTTTGGATTTACAATGAAGATCACGAGCTGATTTTAAATAATCTCCTTTGCTTGGATGTTTCGGAAACTCGCTCGTCCGATCCACCTCGTCTCATGAAATGCCATGGATCCGGTGGCTCACAGCAGTGGACGTTTGGGGTAAGTGAGCGGCTGGCATATAGCATGTTGCTTGTAATTAATGTCCCGATAAGTGACAATAGCACTAGCAGGGTATCAGGGTTGAGTAATTATGCCCAAACTTCAGATGTACCAAGCCAATTGTGCTTGGGGGAACATGTTAGGTGTGCGAGTCCTTGATACAGAGAAGGGCCAACCGTGCGCTGTTGGTTACAGTGCAAGACTGGGGGTGGAGGTCTGTTCTGGAGGAGCGTGGTGTATCCTTGCCATGATCTTCTGCTTCACTGGGCATCTCTTATGGCCATAAGCAGCGACACAGAGTCCGGTGCGGCTGTTCTCACACATTTGCTCCCTCCGTGCACGAGAGCTGGAGGTTGCTGCGCGAGAGAGCTGCCGGGGCTGTGCAGAGAGCCCTTTCCAGACAGAACAGGGGCCCTCAAAGCAGCTGCAGCCAGTTGTTAGTGGGGGATATGGCAGGGTCCTCTCAGGGGAAAAGAAAACAGAGAAGGCGGCCCTGTTTGTTTCTCACACTTGACTAGGGTCTGGTCTTGCCCTGGTTGCTGAGACCCACCGTGCACGAGGGACCCGTCACGCTGTGTGGCAGCTCCCCAGTGCATGGGTGCGGAGGGCCGTGGTGCTACTGAGGCTGGGCCAGATGCAGAGCAGGGGCCTGGCTGTGCAGCACTGTGGGCTCCTTCTTTGCCGAGCACTGGGGAACGGTTTTGATCATTGCTCCACCATTAAGAGACTATGGTGTAGACAAAGTTCAGGCCGGCATTTCACCTGTAAGGGTGTGAGAGCCTTCATTCCGATGTCTGAACGTGGTTATGGTGTGCGCTGTACTCTGGCTTTTAAATGGTGCTGCTGTGGGTCTGGTGTGTCAGGGAGGCTGCCGACAGGCTCATCCCTCAGGAGGGAGCATCCCGTCCCCTTAAGCATCACTTTCAGCTTCCGTTTGACAATGGAGGAGAACAGAAGTTTTCATAAATAAATGACAGAAGTTTTAATAAATAAATGCCATCTGTCTTTCTCCTCTAGAAAAACAACCGCCTGTACCAGGTCTCCGTGGGGCAGTGCATGAAGGTGGTCGATCCGCTTAGCCACAAAGGATATGTGACCATGGCCATCTGCGATGGGTCCCTTCCTCAGCAGTGGCATTTTGAGAGCTGAGACGGCGAGTGTGCGGCTGAGAAGCATTAAGCTGCGACCTGATTCCCCTTCAGCTTTGCGAGGAGCCCTTAGCTGGTAAGCCCAGCCCAACCATTGCGAGGACCCTTGGGAATTACTCGGCTATGAAGAGCTGTGTGCTTGAGAAGATCCAGGTGGTCACTGGTCCCTGGTCAGCTGCAGCAGCAACAGCAGCAGCCCCACTGCGGAACAACATGTAGAAGTGCAATTTATCATCTTGGATTACCCTGGATTATTGAACTGTTTTTAAGTAAGAGAAATTATTAGAGCAATGTAATTTAAATTGTGAGATTTTAGCTTTGTGGATCTTTTAAAAGACGATGACAGAAAGGAGTCCTCTTCAAGTATTTCACGTGCAGTATCTCATTAATTTACGTTTTTAGTATGGTTTTACTGGCCAAATTATTTTACTTTTTCTGGAAAATATTTTTATTCCCTTTTATCTTCTGAAAATTGTCATTTGTATTATTTAAATTTCATTCTTTTAATTTACAGTTTTAGGACACTTCGTGTAGTTTAAATTCTTAGCTGTCATTCGTCACCTCGTATTTAAAACAAAGTAACTATTACAAAGTCTATTTTGATGACTCATGACAGTAGCTGCATTTAAAATAAAGTATCATTTTTTTATTAATCTGTATGGCCTTACTCTTTGTAGCCGTTGGACCAGAAGGCACCAACTGAGAGACTGATGCAAACTAACACTCACATAACTTGGGTCTTCCCTTGTTCTCACTCCCTTTTCTTCACAGCCAGCTCTTTCTCCCTCTCTCACATCTTGGAGGGTTTGCCAGATAATTTGTCTGGTGGTTTTTTTTTTTTCTTTCTCCACTTCTCCGTTTCCCTTCCCAAGTTCATTTATTTCACTATTACCTTTCTTTGACTTCCTGCCCCGGCCCCAGATGCCGCTTCAGTGTGTGGAAGCTGCTGCAGAAGAGAGAAGCTGTTCTTACCCAGCGTTTTTTTTTCTTAGCCACGTTGTCCTTGTTCGTGCTGCCACAGCGACCTGCCTTCCCTGGGAAGCGTGCAGTTGAAACGCTGGCAGCGCCAGGACAGCCTTGCCCTTTCGCTTGGGCAGTGGAAACATTTTCCAGCTGCACAAATACTCTGGCATCCAGTTATTGACATTTGGGCAGCGAGAGGCAAATAACGGTAATATTGGAGTGATCACAGACCCAGGTCTTCCTGCAGAGCGGAGAGATTCACTTGTCACAGGTTGCATTTGGTGCCTCAGCAGTCGGCCCGGGCAGCCACCCTGGGAGGAGACGCGCAGGAGGAAGAGAAGGAGCAGGTGCCCTGCCACTGCCCGGCTTCTTGCCTGGAAGCAGCCAGTCACGGGCAGGAGGAACCAGGTAAGCTGGGTTTAACTGAAAACCAGAACAATAGGCTGAAGTGGAACTTCTTCCAGATAAAGCATTACAATGGAAAGAATTAAGTTAGATGCCAGCCAAGTTCCTTCCTGCCAACAGAAGTCTCTTTAAGAGACTTAACAAGCCCAGCCTCCTTCAGCAGGCTGCACTGTGGCTCTGTGTGCAGCCGGGGGGGACACCTGGGTGGCTTTTGTGGGTGCAGTTAATGGCAGCCGGCCCGGGGGAGGCAGGAGGGTGGGTGGCAGCTTTCCCT